ATGATTTGAACATTTACACTGTCAAATTTATTTAAATGAATGTTCACATCATGTAACATTTACACTGTCAATGTGAATATTCATATTGTCAAATTTATTTATTTATTTTTCTTTTATAAAATTATATATTCAAGTGAAATCTTATTTGATAGGTCTCATTAAGTAGGTGTCAAAAATATGAATTTCATAAATATATATATATATATATATATATATATGTACAATAAAAATTATGAATTTTTGAAAGTTTAATATATAAAAAGCATAAAATAGTTCAAAATAGTGCACAGCAAGTTGCTAAGGGTTCAAAAAATATTTGTAAAGGTAAAATTATTCATAAAATATCTTAAATATGAGAATTAAGATTTGGTCGATCAAATGTTCAAATAATAGGATTTATTGAAATATAAAAAATTTATTATGGACTAATTGAAATACAAGTACTCAAAAAGAAAATATTTTAATAAATTCTCCTAAATTAAAACCATATTCTCATATAAAATGATTTATTTTTAATTTTCCATTAAAACCCTAGCAATTAGTGGCTTATGAGATGGATGTTGGGCCTTTTGTTGTTGGTACTCCTATTGGACAAAATACTATTCAATTGTAATTGAGTTGTGTGGGGGCGTGCCTTTTTCGAGTCTAAGGTATTACTTCCCACACCGACTTGCTTTATTGACATAGAATCGCCACTTAATTTCAAAAGGGAATTAAGAAACCTTTAATAAGGAGAACTAAGTTAAGGCCTAATCCGTCACAACCAAAAAAATTCTGGGTTCGGGAGGTTAGGTACAAAAGGGGAAGGCCATTTTCATGGAAGCATCCCATTTTGCCCAATCCGAAGATTGACCTCTACTTATTCTCTATTTTATGATTTTAGTTGTTAATTGTTCGCAAAAAATCATTTTAGACTTAAATCCCTAACTAACCTAAAGCTATGTGATTTAAAGAAAAGTGAATATCATATATTTTAGATTAAATAAATAAAACCATATTTACATAAAAAGTAATTTTTCATTGGAAAAAGTGGATTTTGACAATCCATGACCTTAAACATAAATTAAAATATGCAATATCCACAAAAGCATACAAAACATGCAATTTTGCATAGAATGAGCAACTAACTTGGATTATTGAAAAGCAATGCAATAAACACAAGCACATGCTATGAAGATTTAAAAGATTTACCCTGATGCCCACTTTACGCATCTTACATGCAATACATAAAATAAATATAACCTAAAATATGCAACTAGACATACAAGAATGATCCTAAGCCCGGTTTGAGACAACTAATGATGCTTATGCACAAAATACAACTAACAAGTAAAGAACATAAAATAAACTAACTATATGATGATTCAAACCAGGCCATATATGTTGATTATATGATTAAAACAAACCTAAAAACATGCTACTTCTAATAAAAACGAATGAAACATATGAGAAAATGGAAGAAAGTGAGAAAACTAAAGAACTACATGATGAGAGGATGAGCTAATATCCTAACATGCTTTGGATATTGAAATAAGAGATTAAAAGCTACTGAAATTAAAGGGAAGGTGAGAGATTACTTGCCGTTTTAAAGAAAACGCAAGAAAAGGCGAGAAAATCTTGCTTTTTTGCTTGCAAACTTCCCTCAAGCATAGGTTTTGATTAGAGTTTGTGTTCTTCAAGCCTTAGGATGTTTTCAGAAGTTTAAAGTTGCCTTGGGGTGTGTTATTTTCAGAGTTAGGGAAGAAGAGGGAGAGGAGGTGAATGTTTTGGCTCTTAAACTTGCAAAAAGGCTTTCAAATCCTTACCTTGAAAGGGAGGAGGAGAAGGCCTTTATATAGGCAGTGAGAGGTATTGGAGGGGGAGGAGGAGGGGGGAAGCTAGGGCAAGCCCCATCGCGTACTCTGCCGCCTCCCTTCAAAAATGCATCAAAATTGGGTTTCCACACTTGAATTTGTGATGCTTCAATGTGTGCGCTCACATCTAATGTGCGCACGCGCATTTTGCCTTGGTACACGTGTCATGTATGCATGCACAAGTACGGAGTCCCATGCCCTTGGCTTGCTTGTGGCACAAGTAAGCTTGAATTGCGTTCTGATCAATGTTTTTGATAAAATGGGCCACTAATTTTGAAAAATACAATCAATCAAAGGACAATCAGGCTACATGGGGCTAAGAAATTGATTTTTGGCTAAAAACAGAATCTAGGGGTAAAATGGTTATTTTTGCAAAAAGTTAATTTTTTTGCCAAAACAGGTTTATACAGCAACTTTAAATAACTTTAAACATTCTAAGCCTGAAGCAAGTACCATTTCATCATCGGGAGGCTTGCAAGTGCCTAAAGTCTTAGGGTCAGTGAAAATAGGGTGTCTACAATTGCCTCTCTTTGATAGAGCTCAAATAATCATGAAGCGATGAGAAACAAATGTCAAAGATCCAAGACTATCCTAGTTGACATGACCTTAAGGCTTAAGGTAGTGCCATACATTCATGTAAGTGATTGAACCCGTAGGTTGCCTATATATCATTGATGTAAGGAATCAGATCAGTATAGTTCGGGTGTGACCTTACAACAATTCATACATGACTGAGTGTGTGCAACAAGCACTCAAGCATTCATCCAAGCATGCATCAAAGTAGAGGAGAGCGAGCGATACCTGTCATACTCACCTCGACGTACCTATGCCAAGTTCCTTTCCGTTCTTTTCCAGGTTATGCCAATGCTGCAATTTTTTTCAAAGAAAGCTATCCCAAATAATAAAGCACACCGCGATGTGGTTAGAATGATTACAATGCCATGTATACCATTTTATGCTCATTTTAACAAGGCAAGGGTGTGCCAATGTGTGCCATGCTCTTATCGACGAGTCATAGAGGTACTAAATGTCGAGTGATGCCATTATGATGCTAATAACGCCAATATATGCCATTTTATGCTCGTGTTGACGAGGCAAGTGTATGCCATTTCGGGCTTGTATCAACGAGCCATGGGTTTGCCAATGTCTGTTATTCCATGTTTGTGTATTGACGAGCCATGGTTTTGATGGATGTCATTCTACACTCGCATCTGTAAGTCGTGGGGTTTATATGCCAAGTGATACCTTTCCATGCTCGCATCGGCAAGACATGGGAGTTTAAATGCTATTCCACGCTTGCGTCAACGAGACGTAAGAATTTAGATGCCAAGTGGTGCCTTTCCATGCTCACATTGGCAAGACATGGGGGTTTAAATTCTATTCCACGCTCGCATTGGCAAGATGTGGGATTTTAAATGCCAGGTGTGCCTTTCTATGCTCGCATCGACAAGACATAGGGGTTTAAATGCAGTTCCATGCTCGCATCGGCAAGATGTGAGATTTTAGATGCCAGGTGGTGCCTTTCTATACTCGCATTGGCAATACACAAAGGTTTAATTGCTATTCCACGCTCGTAATGGCAAGACGTAAGAATTTTGATGCTAAGTAGTGTCTTTCCATGCACGCATCGGCAAGACACGGGGGTTTAAATGCTATTTCACGCTCGCATTGACAAGACGTAGGAATTTAGATGCCAAGTGGTGCATGGGAGTTTAAATCCTATTCCACGTTTGCATCGGCAAGACATGGGAATTTAGATGCCAAGTTATACCATATGGTTCCAATTTTGCTGATATGTGTTAAGTGGTGCCAAGTGTTTGTCAGCATGTATTGAGTGGTGTCATATGCCAAGTTTTATCAAGTGGGTGCCAAATTTGCCAGTTGTTTGCTGTGATGCCAAAATGTGATTTTTGAGAATATTTTTGCTATGTCGAATGTTTTGGGTGCCAATGCCAATTGCCATGGATGATAGGATAATGTGCTTCAAAAGGCATGCCAATGCCTGAAATGAGAAGATGGGGGTGCCTCGACAAGTGTGCCAATGCATGTGCCTCGAAAGACGTGCAATAATGTTCCTTGAAAGGCGTGCTAATGCCTGAGTTTGAGTTTAGAATATACCCATGCATTGAGGATGTCCAGAGGGTGCGATAGATTGGCCATTCATGAGAGCTACATGTGGGCCAATACAAAACGTGCACGATGATGAAAGGATGAAGCTACCGACCTAGCATGCTTAAATATCAAAATAAAAGCAAAAAGAAGATTGAAATATAAAGAGAATAGAGAGTTACCTTCTAGTTTTGAGAAACCAAAGAGCAAACACAAAGAGGAGCAAGAGAAGCCAAGTTCTTTGCTTACAAGCCTCCCTCAAGCTTTGGTTCCAAGTTAGGGTTCAAGGGTTTCAGTCCTTAGGTATTTTCAGAGACCTAGAGTTGCTATGAAGGTTTACTTTTCAGAGCTAACACTTTTAGCGACTAAATTTTTTATCGCAGAAAGAGCTTATCTGGTTGTAGATAGCATTTAGCGATCACAAAAACTCTGGTTGCCATTTAGTCGCCAAAAGCCCATCTTTCTGGCGACCACAAGTATAGTTGGTCACAAAAAGTTACCATTTACGATTACATATTTTAGTTGCGGAAAGAATCTACATTTGTTGAAAGTTGATCATTTGTGACAAACAAATCTAGTTGCAGAAAGACGTCATTGGTGACCAACCTGAACTTGGTCACTGAAAGTTTTAGCCACCACATCCATGGTGTCACCAATGGTTATTCTTGGAACCTTCTTAAAGATCTACTGCAACTAGTCGCAAAAAACCTTCCAATTTACAAAATTATGTTTTCAAATGTAATGATTTTTTTTTTTTAATGCCTATAATATATTTGCAATTAATGCATAATTCATGTCAATCCAATCAATTTCAACATATATACCAATCCATCAATTATCCAAACTCTAACAACAAAAAAAGGCAGTAATTAATCTATTTAATGACAACCACGTGTCAACATCAACACATTACAAGTCCAAAATAACTATCCATCCATTTTGTTTACTACGAATTCACCACATCAAAAACATATTTAACAAAACCATTAATATCCAAAAACATGTCATATTTGTCTAATACAAAATATATTAAAAACTCCGCGTATAAGCATAACTTAGAGTTAATGCACCGGCAAACTCATGGCCATAAACACGCATGATTGCACCTCTACCTACAATAAAAAAAATGAAGAACGCGTTATTATTAATAATAATATTTTTGCTTACATTTCTATTTTATTTTGTAAAAATCTGTGTAATTGAATTTACTGTGGATCCAATCCCACTCCCAAAACCAGCAATCACACAGAGCCATACTGCCCCAGTTCAAAAAAAAAAAAAAAACTTACTGCCAAGCAAAGCAAGGCTCATGCTTTGTTGAACTGAACAATCACAGCCAACAACTTTCTATTTCAAGGACAACCTATAGCCCAACTCATCAACCACCACATCACTAATTTTTTTTCGAGACTCTGTTACAGTCAAATTTACAGAGTCAGGCTTTATTTTCATTTCTAATAGCTCTATAAAAAGAAAAAAATTGAAGAAATTGAAGGATTAAAGAAGATGGGTTGGCCTTTCGGTGAAGAAAAGAGTTGTTTGTGTTGTGTCCATATTTTCTCCGTATTTCTTGGAGAAAAACAAGTATTCTTTGATCCGACCACCAACTATACACCCCACCCCTTATATTATTATTATTATTATATATATGATGATGGGTTTTAATGATAATGAACAAGTGTTTTCTGCGCTCATCTTGAAACAAATCCTCCATCAATCTAGATTTAGATCTCTCTAATGGAACAAATCAATGGACAAATACAGTCCAGACTTCAATGCATTGGGGGAGGTAATCAAGGATTGTTGTTGTTGTTTTTATTTTATTTTATTTTTTTGAGAACATCAAAAAGAAAACTTTATTGATAAAGAATATAGTACAAGACAACAAACAAACATCAATAAAGAGAGTGAAGTGCAAAGAGCATCAAAGCACAACTAAACGATCCTAACTAAGTTGGTACCGAAAACCAACAACCAAACCCAAAAAAAAAAAAAAAAAAAGAGAGAGAGATAGAGACAAACAACTAGAAGGACCAAAGAGCAGCACTTCTAGACTCATTACACACAGACAGCTAACAAACCGATATTGCAAACCATCTGCTGGTGAATCACACTACTGCCAAAGCATCCAGCAAAATGCATTAAAAATATGGCAAGATAGCAGCAACAATTCGTTAATCCAATCATAGCATTAACACACAAAACAGCCAGCTTATTCTCACCAAAATCAATTTCAATCATTCCTCCAAAATTAAACAAAAGCAGTAGGGCAAGGAGAGCAAGAAAACCATATGGCACCAAGATAAATATCAATGAGCATACCACTATCTACAGTTTAACATCACCAGCAACTTTTTGAAATAGCAACTCCCATAAATATCAAATCACCAAAGAGAAAAAAAAAAAAGCAGTCAAACAAGACAAAAAGAAAAACTACACAGTTCCAAGACAAGATTAGCCACAGTAAAGCATCCATTTCGTCCATCGGGCATATTTTCAGCCATCAACTCACTATAAGTTTCATAAACAAAAATTTATAAATTTTATTGTTAGAATTATGTACTAAAATTTAAAGTACTTACTCATCAGAAGAGTTGTATCCACTATGATTGCCCCGCATTTCTTTGATGAAGTGTTCAAACTCCACAAACGTCCTTCATATGCTTGAACTTGTCCTTTCAGTGATGCTACCTCTTCTTTAAGGACAAACCAACTTAGATGATTATTTCAAATGTTTCAAAGCGTTGATATAAGGACAAACAAAGCCAAGCCAAAAGTAAACTAAAAATTTGATGAACAATGATGATGGCGAATATATATCAAAACAAAAAGGAACAATAGAGAGGCCTAATTAAATTGAGCTTACACCTAATATTGATGAGGAATATATTGCTATAAATATAACTACAAGTCGTGGCACAAGCAATGCGATAGACATATTTCTTCTCTAATTAGGTGTTGCCGAAGAGTTAAAGAGAAGATAGAAAAGTAGAGATGAAGGGAAAAAAAAAATTGGTCTAAAAAAATCACATAAAAACAGTTTCAATTAAAAACTAACATTGTTGTTTTTCTTTTTAAATTCTTATTTGACAAATTGAAAAGGAATTGAGTTAGACATCTTTCTTCTTTAATTAGGTTTTACCAAAGAGTTAAGAGAAGATTAAAAACGTAGAGAGGAAGAGAAGAGAAGAGAACTCATCTAGGGGAGGGGGGAAAAAAAAAACAGGGGTCATTCCAATTCTATGCTAGATTGAAGTTGTGTTATATAAAACAATCATAAAATACAATGGGTTCATAAAATACTTACCTGATTCCTCTTCAAGATACCAGCAATCCAATCCATCACTTGTCATCAAAGACCTAAGAGCTACAATGGAAGCATTTGAGGAACCTGCTGATACATATGATTTCCCAAGTAGATGACTGTTCTAGTAAACGTTGTGCGAGTGTGTGCAACCACAGCATGCATCTCTTTTCTTCTACAAATTTTTGTAACAGTTATGGCTGCTTCTATGGTCTGTAGTATGAAATGAATTCTTGAGTATTTCTTTCTAAGAGCATTTTCTCAGTAAACAACCATAATTGCATCACATACTTTGCTTTTCCTTTGTGTAATCCATGTGAAAGGATTCAAATTTAAAAGTAACCCAAAAAAGATTTTAAAGTTAACTGCCATTGACTAAAAGTCATCATTCTACTATTCAGTTTAAAAAAACAAACAGACAACAAAGTTATTTTTAATCTACTTATACAAGGATAAATAAATCACATACCAGACCCGCAATGGCGTGAAAGAATTCAAGTACATATCACATTTCCCCTCTATAACCTCCCGATCCAAAATAATCCCTCCTAGAGCTAGCAATTGCCTGGCTTTTCTGATGCTCTAACTTGGGGCAATCATGGATTCTGTGCCCAAGTCCACCCCAGTAGGCACAGCCTTTGACTCCGCTAGCGTTGGTGATAGCATCAACATCTTCCATGGGATCATTAAGCTCGGCCAAAACTGGTGGTATTCTCTGCTTTGCTTCTTGCAACAAGTGCTTCAAGTCAAGAAGAGTCGTCTCACTTTGATTCTTGTTAATGAATGTTGTAGCTATTCCTGTCTTGCCACATCTTCCTGTTCGTCCAATCCTATGGACATAATCCTCAATTTCAGCAGGCATATTGTAATTGATAACATGCTGAATGTCTGGAAAATCCAAACCCTTCAAGGCGACATCTGTTGCAACCAAGACATCTTTCTTGCCTGCTTTGAAAGACGAAATGGCATATTCTCTCTCCTCTTGATCCTTGCCTCCATGAATTGCAACTGCTTCAAATCCTTTCAAAAGAAGATATTCATGAATATCATCCACATCAGCTTTGTTCTCACAGAATATCAAAACTGGAGGAGGGGTCTTTTGCAAGCATTCAAGAAGGTAAACAATCTTTGTTTCTTGCTTCACATATTCCACCTCTTGAATCACATCGAGATTTGCTGCTCCAGCTCTTCCCACGTTAACTGTAACAGGTTTAACTAGAGCACTTCTAGAAAAATTTTGAATCTTTGTGGGCATGGTGGCAGAAAATAAAAGGGTCTGCCTTTGAGCTTTGGAGTGATCAAACACTTCTCTGATGTCATCTTCAAAACCCAGATCCACCAATCTATCTGCCTTATCTAGAGTCAAATACCTGTAAGAAGCAATATTGTAAAGACCATAACATAGAAATAAGTACAATGTGGTTCAAACATAAGATTATAAAAAGTAACAAATCCAATGCCAACCATCATATCAAACATGCTTACAAACCTGGCACACAGGCACACTATATTATATCATGTTAATTGACAATCAGTTGTCAACTTTCAGTTTCACATTGCTTTGCTAATGCATCACAAGCAAGCAAAATTGAATCGGTAAAGCATCACACATCCTGCTATATCCTGATTGAGAATTCAATGCAAAATGAAAATATTAAGTTTGTGAAAGTGTGTGAGCCACTAGGAAGCACAGATATGGATACGAGATATGAATATGACAATACAACAAAATCTATAAAATTAGAATACGGTTACGGTTAGGATATGATTGTAAAAAAAAATATTTTTTTAAAATTTATTGGCAGTGTTTTGATATTTTAGATATTTTCCTAGTCTTAATTTCCCTTTCTTCTATTTTATCAATATGGATAGTAAGAAAGCATGAACAGGCCTACATGGGATGGAAGGAGAGAAGGACTAAACGACAAAAGGAAATACCTGTTTGTTTGCCTTGGAATGCTGGAGGTTATGCGGCCTTATGTTATTAATGATAGATGACGAAGGTTTTCTATCACTACTTACGATAACAAAATATTGGGATGTCAATCCTTTCCGGTAGAGCTTCATGGGCGTTGCACCGTTCCCCAATCAGTTGTTTGGACGTGAGCTATACTCCGCGAGGAGCCAATCGGGCGTATGGCCTTGCCTTGCCATTTGACCTCTCTTCCCGTGTGACTAGGAATGCGCAGTGAAAACCTCTCAATTGTCACCGCCTGGCCTCTCTTTGATGCGATTGACCTGAGAGTATACAATATGCGTAACTAACTGGTATCGACAATTGTTAAATGAGCAGGGTCAAGCTCAACCAACAACACCTGGTCTGGATCAGAGCAACAGTGTTGACCTTCTTACTTCCCTTCTTTTTGACCCTATGTCCTTTTTCTTGCTGTTTGATTTGAATTTTTTGAATTATGTTTTTTAAAAATTTATTTTTTTAATTTTTGTATTTTTTTGTTTTTAGTGAATTGCCATTTGACCTCTCTTCCCGTGTGACTAGGAATGCTCAATGAAAACCTCTCAATTGTCACTGCCTGGCCTCTCTTTGATGTGATTGACTTTGTGATTGTCAATCTCCCCAATCACATAAGGCGATTGTGTTCAGTTGTTTTCAGCATGAGGTCGACGTTAGTGAAGGTGACAACAGCCGAATACTGGGCATACAAGGCCCCTCATGTTCCCTAATAGGTTGTATTCCCTCCGCTATTGGCTATGGGAAGAGAGCTAATGGAGAGTTCCCGACCTCCTTACTTGAAGAGTGTATTTAATGAAACTTATTAGTATCTAAGAGGGTAGCAAGAAAAAGGACATAGGTTCAAAAAGAAGGGAAGTGAGAAGGTCAACACTGTTGCTCTGATCCAGTCCAGGTGTTGTTGGTTGAGCTTGACCCTGCTCATTTAACAATTGTCGATACCAGTTAGTTACGCATATTGTATACTCACATGTTAGTGGTGGCAAAATGGCCCGACCCGCTGGTGGAATGGGTTTGAGAGTGATTAAATAGGGTAGGGTCGGGTTTAGGAAAAATAGTGGGCAACCCAAACTGGTCGGGATCAGGGAGAGTGGGTTTTATGCCCGTACTCGACTCGCCCCGCCCCGCGTATATTTCAATAAATAAATAAAAATATTACTGTAGTCTGTACTGTTACCCTTATATGTATAAAAGGCAGATAACACCTCACCTAGGTTTAACCTTTTACCTTCCATCTCAATCTCAAATGGCGCCTCCGACTACATCTTGACCCTATGACAATGTTTGGCCTCCAGCTGCCGGTGACCAAAGGTGGTCGCCATAAATGACAGTGACAGTGGCAGTAGGAGGTTATGGAATAATGAAACTAAATCACGGGTAGTTTTGTCTAAAAAAAAGTTAGTGTCTTTAAACTAACTAGCATATTTTAGTTGTCCTTAAACTAATACAAAACATTTTCTAAGAAGCTTAATAAATATGAAAACCTAAAAAAATCAATCTCCATTGTTTTATTTTTATTTTTTAAATTTGATATATTTTTATTTTATAAAAAAAAAGCTCCCTTTTAATTTGATGGACATTTAATAAAAGCAACAGTAGGGGTAGGTGGAAGCCATAGGCCCTACATTCATTTTGTTTTCCTTAATTTGGTTCAAATTTCCTGAATTTAATTTTATAAAAATTGAGTTTTATTTTTTTTAGTGAATTTTTTTAATATTGTAAATATTTTTTTTTTTACTTTTTAGATGCACTTAATATAAATACAATTAAAAAGTATAATATTTGTGAAAAAAATCTTTAAAAAATTCACTAAATAATAAAAATATATAAAATATATAAAAATTAAGTACATTTTCATATTATTGTGTATTTATTGATTTTATAAAAAAAAATATTTACTTTTTAAGTATATCTAGGTTAGGTGCATTTAAAAAATAAAAAAAATTCACTAAAAGAATTTCAAATCCACTTTTTTTATTAGGTTACCTGCATGGAAAAAAAGAAAATAAAAGAAAATTAAGTTTCAAAAAAAAAGAGAGAGCTAATAATAGTACAATCATGTACATTTTTGGTAGGGAAATGTATGGGCAAGTATGTTGTCACGCCCTCAAATAATAACAATAACTCCAATTCTTAGAACAGAATGTTAATGGAAATATTATGCTTTCATTCATCAGAGTTTGCATTATAAAAGAGAATACATTGATACATTCATAAATGTTCACCCCTGAATTTATAGCATGTACTATCAGTTAATAGCTAACAAAAATAAATGCCCTACAGAGTTAAATCTTTCCAAGTCATTATTTGGTCAGAACAAAAGATTCATAGCTACTTCCTAGAGGCGGCCAACGCTTTGATCGAGATACAAGGGAAGACAGTCAAACGAAAATTGAGAGTGAAACTTTGACCGAGCTAGGAAAGGAGCCGCACAATGTCAACATGGTGGCGCATCGTGCAAAATCTGCGCAGTGCTGCATGTTGCACGGCTAAGTTAGTGGCGGACAAAGTAAAGTAGTTCAGATGCTTGGTGGGAAGCCGTCCAAAGATTTGTGATATCTTACTTAGCTTATGAGAAGGGTGTTAAAGGATAAGCATTATCCTTTAGGAGTGTGATTTCTAAGAGGATTCGACAATGGAGAGTTAGAGTTCAACAAGGATTGTACTATGCAGAACTTACAAAAGCTCAAACCAAATCCTAATTTCAGGCATTGCAATTGTTATTCCAGGATTCATAGAGCTTTTATCTCCTTAGTAGAGTTGTGCAGCGGATCTACCGACCCGTCAAAACCGCCCAGCCCGACCAGTAATTAATGGATGCGTGACACGTGACAGAAGGGTGCAAGCACAAATTTTTAATTTTCTCAGATTCGGATTAGGTGGCGGGTGATCCACCATCATACCCCAACAAACCCGACCCGTATTGACTCTTATTTTATTTTATTTTTTTCAATTTTTTTTACGCCTCATGCCCATTTTCTTTCATTTTACCCTAATTTATTCGCAGACCCAATAAAGAAACACAACACATGCAGAGACTTCCTCTCTCTCTCTCTCTTTACCCTACCCATTGTCCTACGGTCTACACTGAACCTCCGACCGACGATCTACACTGAACGGCGATCGATCTACACTAAGGTCTCTCTCTCTCTAGATAGAAAATATACAGATACCTCTCTTTGTATATTGAGTTGATCGTTTACGAGTAATTGGCCTCTGAGAATCTTCGTCAATGGTTTCTTTTGAGATTCTTCGTCTTTATGTAGCGCGAGAGGGTTTGATGTATATATATGTGTGTGTTCGTCCTATTTTAAGGCTAGTTTTTCTCTCCATTTGATTGAGTTGATAAAAAGATATGTAATTTGTGTCTCTAGGTTATAGATTTTTTGGTATGAGTTGATAAAAAGACATGTGATTTCCTTCAGATCCTTCCTCCATAGCTATGAACACCTTCAGGTTGCAAAAATACAGTCTGACTATTATTATGTTTTGTGAGAAGCAACAAAATGATACTTTATTGAACATACAGTCTGATTATAATACTTAATGCAGTCTAATTTAACTTTCTCGTATCCCCAAATAGTTTGTAACTTGAGGTCATTGCTGAACCTATAATCCCAACCCCAAACCATTGTTAGCAGAAAGAAGCCTACACTGATATACTTGGGGAAAGAAGTCTAAACTATTTTAACCCTCCAAAGTCATAAACAATGAGATTGGAGAGTTGAGCAAGATCTAATGGCTGTCTCTATTTCTCTCTTATATTTGAACTTCTTCATCCATTTATAACTGACCAAGAAAATTTTGCAAGCTTTGTAGTTAAGTCTTTTTTATAAGGTTGTTGGGTAGTAGTGGTAGGACTTTATTGTGGAGAGGTGTTTGAGGTGTGAAATACCTACTAATATATATTTTTTTACTTGAACGACAACTCATGGTAAGATTCTCACTATTAATAATTTGAGAAAGATGAGACAAATCTAATGTTTTATGTATAAGTGTAGGAATGATGGATAATTGGTTAGTCATTATGAAGCACGGGTACTCCAAAAATAATGCCGTACACGTACTGAATACTTACTGGGTGCGGGTACGCGTACCGGGTATGGCAAAAAGGAGTCCGGTATGTTTGGTTCAATCGGGTACGACATGGGTACGGCTTTGGTACATTTCGGGTACGCTGGGGCAAAAATCAAATTTCCAGGAGAATTGAGGGGTACCGGAGCAATATTAAGAAAAATTTCAGAAAAACAAAAAAAGGGAATATACACGAATGACCTAGGTTTTGCCCTAATCTCTTCACCTCAGCAACACAGCAGCAAAGAGGCGACCCATCCATTCGCCTTCTTCTTCGCCTTCTTCTTCTTCTTCTTCTTCTTCGTCCACATCTTCCACCCTCGTCTTCTTCGTCTTATATATTTTTTGTTTTGCAGATCAGCAAGCAACTGGTTTTGTCGCTTCTTGCATCTCTTCGTCTTCCCTCCGGTGAGAAACTGGTCAGAATTTTTGGGTGCCCCTGCATATCAGCAAGCAACTGGTCAGAAGTTGTTTCTTCATCTCTTCGTCTTATATTTTTTCGTCTTCGTCTTCATCTTTATTTTTTTTGTTGTTTTCTTCTTTCTTCTTTCTTCTTCAGAGAGGTAGAACCTGGTCAGTATGTATAGTAGAACCAAAAAAAAATTAGAACACAAAAATTAATAATCAATCATACTTACAGAATGTTAATAATCAAAAAAATTAATTAGAACAAAGTTATTCCTCAACAGAAGAATGTTAATCAAAAAAATTAATTAGAAGTTTAGAACACAGTTATTCCCCAACAGATCGTCAATAATCACAAATATTATTTTTAATAATCACAAATATTATTTTTTATGCTTTAACCATAATAATTTGTAGGTTGGATCCTTTAACCATAATTATAAAAAAAATAATAATAATAAAAAAATATCGGCGTACCGCAGCCGTAAATAAAACTATATATTTATTTGTTGTCGTCTCCCTGCCACGTTTTGTATTGATTTGTTCGAAAATTTCATGGTTGGTGTGTCTATATTTTGTACCTATCCATGCATCTTTGGTATTATCAACTATAAATAAAATATAATTGGAATCCAGCAGCGTGTATGTCAAAGGAAAATAAAAAGAATAAGAGCTGTGTTTTTAATTGCATCTATGTCGGTTCAACCCACCCCAACCTTGTTAAACCCGGTTGGCTTAGGCGCGGTGGGGCAGGGGTAGGGATGGGTTGGGATGCTTTGTGTGTAATTGGGGGATCGGGGTTGGGTTAGGCCAAACCAATATGGATGCTGCCACGTTGCAGCCCTTTTAGAAAATTGCTTCTAAGTTTTGTCCATGTTTTTTCTAATTATGAGGCTAAACATCAAGAGTTGCAAGGTGAATTCTTATACAATAGACTTATTTAGAGCAAGAGACGAAGGAACAATATATTGAGGACTCAATGTATGGAATACAATTAATTTAATTCTAGTTCCAAAATTAGATTATTAAGTTTCCAAGTTCCAACTATGTAATAGATAAAACCTATCCTGGAATGTACCACATTTTATCGTGTGGCACATTACTTTCTTCGTAACTTTGTGTACTCTAAAAGCATATTTGTCAAATCTGGATTCGAATTGTGAATTAAAATAACCTTGTACCGAATCGGTAATTGAATCGAATTGTGAGTCGTAAAGATTCGGCTACTTTTTCTAAATTATTTAGAAAAAAATATCTACACTTGGATGTTCAATATATCTGATAAATATGAAATATTTAAATTTAAATTAATGAAAATGTTGTTTTGGATGATGATGATATGGTCTAATAGGTGAGAAGTTAACATGGGTTCACATGTAAGATTAGCATGTTACCTCTTCTATTTTTTAGATATTTTTTTATCAATCATTCTTAATGAAGAAATAAAGAATTAATAAAGATAAACTCTCATTTTTCAAATAACAATAACTTAACATTGTGTGTGTGACAGTTGAATTTGAAGCAAATTTATTGATCTATCAAATTTTTTTTTTGTTGTTTGTAGTTTTGGTAAGGAGAGATGGGAGAAAGGAAGGTGTTGAACAAGTACTACCTGTCGGACTTCGATCCGGCCAAGATTCCGAGGTGGAGGCAGCCGAAGAACCAGCAGATGAAGGTGCGGATGATGCTTCCCATGAGCATTCGCTGCGGCACCTGCAGCAATTACATCTACAAAGGTACCAAGTTCAACTCCCGCAAGGAAGAAGTCATCTGCGAGGTATACATATGTGTGTGTATCTATTTATTTGTAATTGTTAATTGTTAATCTCTTTCATAGTCCTTGATTACACTATCTGAGAATTTTTATTTTTTATAATTCTCTAAATTGGAGACTCACATATTGTGTATTGTGTATTTTGTATTTGTATCGTTATCTATCTGTGTTTTTTTGATATATTTGTTTGCTTGGGTGGACTATTGCCTAGGATTGGGATCAGTGGTGGAACCAGAAATGTTGTTTTGGGGGGTGGGGAAGTTGTGTGTATAAAAAGATTTGACTTAGTTTTGGTACATGACTAATTAAAAATAATTTTTTATACAAACATTGTGAAAACAGAATTTCATAAGGATGAAATTAAATAAATCTAACTAGTCATTTTATAACTTAAAATAGTTAAAAATCATCTCATTTTATATTATAAATACTAATAAAATAAAAAATTAGTGAGTGATTTTATAAAATAGGTATCATCTCATTATATATTTTTGTAAATAATCTCATTATATATTATAAATTATCATGAAATATAAGGGTAGTATTTGAATATTCCAAAACTTGGGAGGGACCGTGGCCACTGCCTGTCCCTATGTAGTTCCATCCCTGATTGGGATTATTAATTCATGAGATTCACATTACACTGTTTGGTTGCAAATTTTATTCGGATTAGATTTCAATGACCATTTTATTTAACAAAATTGTTGAATTTTTTAATTCTACAACTAATAATGCAAAACATATATATAATTGGGATTATATATTTCCATATCTATTGTAAAATAAACGTGGACAAGAGGGAATTATGTATCTCACTAACCGAGTTGGATAACCAATCCTACGCTAATCTTATGGATTATTAATCCCCTCACTATTATTCATGCTAAATTTATGTCTTTGTTTTAGAATGATTGATTGCTAGAAATTTGGGGTATACTAGTAGAACTCGAATATTGTTGGCATGTAATTGAGGCAACAGTTTTTTGTGAAGGAAAGTGTACTTTTTGGATTTATTCACAGCTCGGGCTTTATCCATGGGACTTGTAGAGAACCAAAAGATTTGTGTACATCAGCTTTTACTGGTGGTATGTGTTTAATCACCTAGACACATTGATCAGACTACACCCTTGTGGTATGAGCACATAGTGAATAATAAAAAAACAAAATAGCTATTAGTTCATGCATGTTTTAGGGCCTGGTTCCATGTTGGTGATTATGCATATCAAGCGTTCTAGTCATAGGTTCCTCATATGTAATGTATAGTGGGATATGATGTGTTTTATGATCTTTCTAATTGTTATGACGTTTACAAAACTAGTTTCTATGGGACAGGTTACTTGTTTTAACATTTGGTTGATTGTTAACCTTTTGGAACGGTATCTCTTGGTACTATGATGATTATTTTTCCTTGTTTTTTAAATACATGTTTTTAACATCGAAAATCAATCTGCTTATTACTGATAAGGAAAACCATTTTAATTAGTTTATAGTCACTTTGATTTTTTTTTTTTTTTAATTTGATGTTAGATAAGGACTAATTATCTAGGCCTTAAAACTATTTTGTAGGTTTTTATCCAAAGAGAATGTTGTTGTGCATAACTACCACGATTTCTAACTGATCAAAATGTCTGCATAACTTCTTGTGTTTTTGAACTTGTTTTTACATATGAACTAGAAAGTCATTATTTTTGTTCTAGAAAGAGGGGGGGGTTTAAAATTTTTTTCATAAAAATTCAGGATCTCCCTCTTTTTTGTCTTTATTAGAAGTTATCATTCTTCCCCTGTTTCTGTGGGTCACCTATTATTTCTTAACTAGTGACAAATGGTAGATGTCTGCAATTGAGGTTAGAGGATTAACACAAGTTGTGTAAGAAGGCAACTATTGATCATAAATCTAGATACACTTTCTAAGTAGAGCAACCATATTTTTATGTGGATTCATTGTGCCCCCAGTACTGTCACTACAAATCTACTACTGTACTAGATGCCAGATTTTTACCATCTACCTTATCTTTTCTACTTTCACACAGGGATTAACCTGATGAAGTGATGTCCTGACTGAACATATTCTATGGAAAAGCATGAGGTGACATTGGATGAAATTTCAACATTATGCTGTTTGAAAGATGGATACCCTTGTTATGGTTATAATATTGTTATCTTCACTCTATTTATCCTTATTTCTGTGATCGGTAAAATACATCCTTTTCAGACTTTGATTATGAGATACGTATTACTATTGTTCAGTGAACTGACTGAAATGTTAAAACTATTTTTAGACATACTTGGGGATCCAAATATTCAGGTTTTATTTCAAATGCACTAAGTGCTCTTCTGAGTTAACAATAAAGACCGACCCGCAAAATTCAAACTATGTTGTTGAGTTGGGCGCATCACGGAATTTCGAACCTTGGCGTGCAAAGGATGAGGTATTAAGTTAGCATGCCATATACAACTTTCTATTTCATCTTTAGTTCTCCTTATTTTGTTGATTTCATGATTTGATTTTGGCTTCTTATATAATTTGAACATTGCTCTCTTTGTCAGGAAGCAGATAAGGAAAATCAAAAAAGGGAAACTGAAGAGATGGGAGATGCAATGAAATCCTTGGAGAATAGAACGTTGGATTCAAAAAGAGAGATGGACATCCTTGCTGCCCTAGATGAAGTGAAGTCCATGAGGGTACTTGCTTAGTCAAATAACTAATATGTAGTGAACATAATAAACATATATTAAGGTGGTATGTTGATAATCAATATATAAAAAATCTGGGGGTTCAGGGAGGGGATGCCCTATTTCCGACCTTGACCAGATTAGTTTTATTAATCCCCAAGCCCGATTAACCCCAACTCATACCCAATAGAGTCAGGCAGGGCCGAGGCTGGAATTCTAGATGTATTGAGAATAACTTAATGATTCAGCTACTGAATATATGGCCTTATTAACTTCATAGGTTGGTAAACTTATTTTGGGTTAAAATGTCAATTTGCCTGACATATGGGATCATTAGCGAAGTGTGTGAAAGTTTGTTGTTTTATTCATTTTACTCAGATGTGAACTTGAATTTATATTTTAAGCGTACTAAAACAAGTCGTCTTTCTGCTTTTTCAGTCAAGACAAGCAACTATCAGGGTAGATGCAATGCTGGAGATCTTGCGGCACTCAGCTGAGGAAAAGGTAAGGTCATTTATGCTAGTTCATTATTTCAACCTTTTGGGTGTAAATACATTTTGTGTAGGCCTTGAACAATGAAGCCCAATTGCCATTTTGGTCACTTTTGTGATGTACTAGATTTATGTGAATGGCAGCAGCAGTATCTAATGTGGGATTGAATTTATGTTTAGTTGGCAATACTATTTTATACTTGCAGAACTGCATGAAGTAAGCATGTAGTTTGACCTTTTTTTTGGATTGGCTGCATTCAAGTAATCTTCTACTCACTTTTGAACATAATAGGTTTTGATTCGGGTTGCCTCCTTAACTCATTGAACTGAAAATTAACACAAGTAATAAGTTCTAGATTTATATATATGTATATATATTAAAGTATTTGAATGTCTCTTTTTCTTCTTTTGAGATAAGTTAGTTAAATGGGTGGTTTGGCATGCCTACCTAAAATCTGTTCAGTGTTAAGGCTAGGCACTGGCTGTATTGGTCTGACGAGAATTTGATAGGGCTCGAATTCAAAAGCAAACTATAATTTTGCTGGAATTTGAGCTTCAGTATTTCTATACTTTAAACTGTTGGACCAATTGTTGTCATAACAAATCATCCAGAGGTATAGCTATTTGACCACATCATAGCTGCAGTGTGAATTTGTCAAGGCAGCATAGGAGCTCAAAACTGTGAATTTGGATACTATTTTATTACCATCAGTTCTTACTAAGTCCTGGGATTTTTTTTGTCAACAGGAAAAGAAGTTGGAAGAAGAGGATGAAGCACTCATAAAATCATTATTTGGAGTAAGTATATCATTGTTAAACTACTGCTACTTTGCCATATTGCTGCCTCTGTTTTCTGGTAGTTTGTACTCGTGAGATTTACTTGGTGTCAAAATTCTTTCTCAGGCACCAAGAGAGGTCGTTTGCAGGATCGATGATGATATTCTTGATGATGATGAAGATTTATTTCAGATTTCAACTGACAACACTGAAACATCAAACAATAATTCAAAAGTATGATCCTTTACTAATAATTTGGTTGTATGATCAATATGTATCTAATGAATGGTTTGAAAAATGACAAAAGGATAAAAAAGGATGAAGATTTTAAGTGATATAAATTGGCGAATAAGGAGGTTAAAAGGATAATTAGGGATGCTAAGCTAAAGCTAAAGCTAAAGCTAAAAGCCTACACCAATCTTTACCCTAGATTAGATAGTAAAGATGGAGAAAATAATATTAATAAATTTCCTAAATTGAGAGAAATGAAACGAGACACTTAATCAGGTCAAGTATATAAATGTGAGGATTTGAAGGTGTTAGTCAAGGATGAGGAGGTTAAGGAAAGGCAGAAAAATTATTTTTAGAAACTGTTAAATAAAAATCATTTGGAAAATCTAAGAGTAGTGGAATATGATAGCTTTGATGGGACTAGAGAAAATAGGTTTTATTGTTGACTAGGAGAGTTTGAGGTGTAACTTGCACCGAAGACGATGAAATTAGGTAAGCATTAGGATCAAACTGTATCCTTACTGAGGCTTGAAAATGCTTAGGTAAGGATGGGCGTCTTGGTTAACAAAGTCCGTTAATAAGATTCTAATGACTAGGAAAATACATGATGAGTGGAGAAAAATGAGATATCTAAAATTGCAACAATTATAGAGACATTCAGTTCATGCTTCATACGATGAAATTGTGGGAGAGAGTGATTGAGCATCTCTGCAGGGTTACAACGACAATGTCCTTTAATCAATTTGAGTTTATGTATGGTAGATCAACTAAAGAAGCGATATATTGACTAAGAAGAATAATAGAAAAGTACAGTGAGAAAATGAGGGATCTACATATGTTTTTTTTATAGATTTAGAAAAAGTTTACAATAGGGTGCCTAGAAATATATTATGGTTGGTGTTGGAGAAAAAGAGTGTGACCAAAGGGTATAAGGGTGCAATAAAAAATATGTATGATGGGGGTTGTGGCTACTACAACCTACAGGGGAAACTAGTGAATTTTCAATTACTCCTTACAATGCATGTAGGATGATATCCTATGTTGTATGTTGTTTAGAAGGATATCCATTAGGATGAAACCAAGGAAGAAGTTAACAGTTCTTTCTTTTTTATTTCATTCAAAGCTTCCTAAAGACACTTTCTAACATCTAGCATATCTAAACAATCGGAAACCATATTTTCTAGTTCCAAATGCCTTCAATATATTTTCACTTTGAAGGCTTTTGGGAAGCTTACTTTAGGAGTAGAGGGAAAGACTACAGAAAAGCTATTTTTACAATTTTTGACATTGAGAGGCTAGTGAACCATACAAATCATGAAATTATTTTATGTCACATAGTTTCGCGTGTCATCTCTATGATATGAGATTCAACGAGTGATTCATATCGAAAATGGTGTTCAAACTATCTGAATTGTAAGATTCAATTCACAAATTGTAACATTTTGATAATTACGCTTTATGATGGATTCATTTCATTTGTGCCATGTCCCTTGCTAAACTTTTAAATGTAGGCTTTAAGGTTATGTTAGTCTTGGGCTAAATTTGTTTTTGAAAACACACAACAGGATGGCATAGAGGAAAAGTCTAGGCATTAATTTCAGCATAAGGAAGATTTGAAATTTCAAATTTTCTACAATACATGTGAAAGGAACCTGATGATAGCAAATTTGATTCTTCTGTATCAATTGCTAGTTAACCCTGTGCATGTTGCTGTTAGCAGAAATGGTGTGATACTTTATTGAAAGCTGAATATATTGGACACTTCTTTTATGCCATAAACTGATGCAGCATACATACTTCTGCCACTCTTTCTTCTGCTCCTGCCTCCTCTCCCCACACCCACATTTCTTTTCATGCTTCCAAGTAAGGGTCTATCATACACATTCAAGGAGCACTCATAGAAATCAAAGTTGGTGTTTACAATGAAAATACTGTTGTACCTGAAACAAAAAATGAATAAATCAATAAACTTTATGAATTCTATGCATTTGTTACTAAGTTCATTATGTTTCTTGTGCAGAGGAGAAAGATTTCTGAAGAACTTCCCACTAATAGGTTTCTGAAGAACTTCCCGCTAAGCCAACAGATTATCTGACGAAGTACAATATATGTATAGCTTGTTTCATGCTAGAAAGTGAGCCCGCTTACATAATGAAGAACCAAACAGCACCCTAGTTTTGTATTAGGAATAATTTCCCCCCTCTTATATTCTTCAACGCAAGAACATCGAGCATGTTTTTTTTGGTAATTAATATCTGGTGTTGGAACTTTAATGTGAGTGCCCGCTGCTTGATTACGTTCAAGAAAAAAAAATGTTCACTTCCCGATGCTCATTTCCTGTCAAATTAATGAATAGATATGACTAGGTCAATTTTGCAAGTAATTTGATGGGGAAATCGCTGTCCTGTTGGTAATATATCAGTTGAGCTGGTCTTCAAAAGGTTTTTTTTTTTTTTGCTACCATTAATCTATCTTATCTGCTAATCTAGCTAGGGTTATTTTTAAGGGAGTCATTAGGTTAATACCTCAGCCAAGTTTATTCACTGGTGGACCATCTCGGATAGGATGGATATGTTGATTTCAACCTCAGGAATTTAGATCGCCATGAAATATGATTTTGAATGATCCTAACCTTTTGCTATGTGATTTAATTTTACAATATAAAGATATTCAACCATTGCTTGGGACAACCATGTTGTCAAGGATTAAAGATGCATTGTGTCCTTGCTTTTTATCATCTGATTTCAAGTAAATATAATTTTTACAAACTTTTTTCCTAACAACATAAACTACTGTGAAATCTATTCATGAAAATCATCCATTTATTTATAAAAATAAATGAAATTATGTCTATATTGTTGTAAAACTAAAAAATTGTTGACGAGATATTCAAGAGCATAAAGAAAAAGCATAACACCAAATATAAAGAAATAAGTTATTTAGAAACATATATTTTATTCTTTATAAACCTTTAAGGATTGATGTTCAGGACCAACTAAGATTATTTATTAAACAGCCCATTCATACATTTATCTAAAAAAATTGATTAAAATATTTACCAATGAATCTCATCTCACAAAGAAATACTCTAATTAGTTTTAAGTTTTTTCTATTGATCTATTAAGTCCTATTAGTAGAGTGTTTCTTTTTGTGTGAGCCTGTTTTTTGTTATGGTAGTTTTTTGATGGATGACTATACCCTTTCATTAATGTGACAAATATAATGTGACACTCTAACGTGACAAGTATGATGTGACACACTGAAAAAAAATTTAGTATACTTTTCTCAAATGTGACACTCCAATGTAGTATAATGTGACACTAAATAACTCCTTAATGTACTTTTTTTAAATGTGACACTCCAATGTGACAGATAAGGTTGTGCAAAATATTGCCCAATCCGCTAAAACTGCACCGATCCGCACTGCTCGAGCCGCTAGCTGCAGTTTGAATTTTAAAATTTATAATCCGCTTTCGAAACTGCTTCGCTCTACTATACTTAATACATATATATTTTTTAACCTTTAATGAAATATCAAAGTAAAAATGAGTGTGAGAGAGATTTAAGATGTGAAATTTGTTACAAATTAGTAGTTATATGTGTGAAAAATATAATGTAAAATTAGTTTGTGTTATATATAAAAAATATTATACAAATTAGTGTTATATATTATGAAAATGCTTGATAATTGCTTAAGAATATTTTTCAATCCTCTAGTCCGCTTCAAACCGCCCAAACCACAATTTGCCAAACTGCTAATCTGCCAAACCGCCATTTGCTTTATAATTTTACTCTCAAACTGCCCGAACCGCACCGTGCACACCCCTAATGGCGGATATGATGTGACACACCAAATAACTCCTTGGTATACTTTTTCCAAATGTGAAACTCCAATATAGCGGGTATGATATGACATACAATGTGACGGGTATGATGTAACACACTAAAAAAATTTCCATTTATACTTTTTTCAAATGTAACATTCTAATATGATGGGCAAATAAGTAATTACATATCCAAAAGGATTAAATGGATCTGGAAAAAAAAAAAAAACTATATGACCCACAAATCCAAAATATAAGATTTATTAATTGTCAATCCCCCAATTTTTTCTACTCAAAATAAAGAAAAACTCATCTACAGACTGTTTTTGAAAAAGAAAATTGTAACCTACAGACCTTAAAAGGAATGCGCCCTATGCACCATCAGTTATGCCATTTTTTTTTATAGTTATGATCAATTTTCTTCTTTAGTTCTTGAAAGAGTAATTTCATAGCCAAATTGGGTCGAACTAGTTGGAAGTGGCTTTCAGGTTTGGGCTATGTGATGGGCCGAGCTAAGCTTGGTTTGGGCTGAGCAGAGGTCAGGCTAGTCAAAGATGTTTGACTGGACCAGTAAATGCCCAGATTTTTTGACCTAGCTACTTCTTAGAGGCGGCCAGTGCTTTGACCAAGATACAAGGGAAGACGGTCAAATGAAAATTGAGAGTGAAACTTTGACTGAGCTAGGAACAGAGTCGCGCAATGTCAACATGGTGGCGCGTCATGCAAACTCTGCACAGTGCTGCATGTTGCACGGCTAAGTCAGTTGCAGACAAAGTAAAGTAGTTTAGATGCTTGGTGGGAAGCCATCCAAAGAGTTGTGATATCTCACTTAGCTTGTGAGGAGAATGTTAAAAGATAAGCATTATCTTTTTGGAATGTGATTTCTAGGAGGTTTCTACAAAGAAGAGTTAGAGGTGGTTTGGGATGATCTAAATAATTGTACTTTTTGACTTTTTATGAAATATGCTTTGGGTATGGGTTGGGTTTGAACTAATGTGGTAGAGAGGTGATGTGACTTAAATAGGATAGTGACTTTTTGACTTTTTTATTTTTTTAAGTTATGACAAACAAGGCCTTAGAGTTCAACAAGGATTGTGCTATGTAGAACTTACAAAAGCTGAAACTAAATCCTAATTTCAGGTATTGCAATTGTTATTCCTGAATTCACAAAGCTTTTATCTCTTTAGTAAGGTTGTGCAGTGGATTCATTGACCCGCCAAAACCGCCCGGCCTGACCAGTAATGGATGGATGTGTGACACGTGACAGACGGGTGAGGGCTCAAATTTTTTCAATTTTCTAAATTTTCTAGCTCAGGTTAGGTGGCGGGTGATCCACCATCATACCCAACAAACCCGACCCGCCCTTGACTCTCTCTTTTTTTTTTTCCCGATTTTTTTTACACCTCTGACTCTGGCCCTTTTATTTCAGTTTACCCTAATTTCTTCGCAGAGTCAACAACAAAAAAAAACACAACACACACGCAGAGACACACTCTCTCTCTCTTCCCCTTACCCATTGTCCGACGGTCTACACTGAACCTCCGACCGACGGTCTACACTGAACCTCCGACCGATGATATACACTAAACGGCGAGCGATCTACCGTGAACGGCAATCGATCTACATTGAGGTATCTCTCTCTCTCTCTAGATAAAAGATATACAGATACCTCTCTATGTATATTGAGTTGATCGTTTACGAGTAATCTGCCTCTGAGAATATTCGTCAATGGTTTCTTTTGAGATTCTTCGTCTCTATGTAGTGTGAGATTCTTCGTCTCTGAGTTGATCGTTTACCTTCTTTTTTTTAGATATTTTTTTTTTTTATCAATCATTCTTAATGAAGAAATAAAGAATTAATAAAGATTAACTCTCAATTTTCAAGTAACAATAACTTAACATTGTGTGTGTGACAGTTGAATTTGAAGCAAATTTATTGATCTATCAACTTTTTTTTGTTGTTAGTCGTTTTGGTAAGGAGAGATGGGAGAAAGGAAGGTGTTGAACAAGTACTACCCGTCGGACTTCAATCCGAGGAAGATTCCGAGGCGGAGGCAGCCAAAGAACCAGCAGATGAAGGTGTGGATGATGCTTCCCATGAGCATTCGCTGCGGCACCTGCAACAATTACATCTACAAAGGTACCAAGTTCAACTCCCGCAAGGAAGAAGTCATCTGCGAGGTATACATATATGTGTGTATCTATTTATTCGTAATTGTTAATTGTTAATTGTTAATCTCTGTCATAGTCCTTGATTACACCATCTGAGAATTTTTTATACAAACATTATGAAAACAGAATTTCACAAGGATGAAATTAAATAAATCTAACAAGTCATTTTATAATTTAAAATTGTTAAAAATCATCTCATTATATATTATAAAATACTGATAAAATAAAAAATTGGTAAGTGATTTTATAAAATAGGTATCATCTCATTATATATTTTATAAATAATATCATTATATATTATAAATCATCATGAAATATAAGGGTAGTATTTGAATATTCCAAAACTTGGTCGGGACTGTGGTCACTGCCCGTCCCTATACAGTTCCATCCCTGATTGGGATTATTAATTCTTAAGACTCACATTACATTGTTTGGTTGCAAATTTTATTCGGATTAGATTTCAACGACCATTTTATTCAACAAAATTGATGGATTCTTTAATCCCACAACTAATAATGCAAAACATATATATAATTGAGATTATATATTTCCATATCTATTGCAATATAAATGTGGACAAGAGGGAATTATATCACTAACCGAGCTGGATAACCAATCCAACGCTAATCTCATGGATTATTAAACCCCTTACTATTAGTCCTGCTAAATTTATGTCTTTGTTTTAGAATGATTGATTGCTAGAAATTTTGGGTATACTAGTAGAACTCGAATATTGTTGGCATGTAATTGAGGCAACAGTTTTTTGTGAAGGAAATTGTACTTTTTGGATGTTATTCACAGCTCGGGCTTTATCCATGGGACTTGTAGGGAACCAAAAGATTTGTGTACATTAGCTTTTACTGGTGGTATGTGTTTAATCACATAGACACATTGATCAGACTACACCCTTGTGGTATGAGCACATAGTGAATAATAAAAAAACAAAATAGCTATTAGTTCATGCATGTTTTAGGGCCTGGTTCCATGCTGGTGACTGTGCATATCAAGCGTTCTAGTCATAGGTTCCTCATATGTAATGTATAGTGGGATATGATGTGTTTTATGATCTTTCTAATTTTGAAGTTAAATCATGATGTTTACAAAACTAGTTTTTATGGGACAGATTACTTGTTTTAACATTTGGTTGATTGTTAACCTTTTGGAATGGTATCTCTCGGTACTGTGATGATTATTTTTCTTTGTTTTTTAAATAGAGGTTTTTGACAGCAAAAATCAATCTGCTTATTACTGATAAGGAAAACCATTTTAATTAGTTTATAGTTACTTAGATTTTTTTTTTATTAATTTGACGTTAGATAAGGACTAATTATCTAGGCCTTAAACTATTTTGTAGGTTTTTATCCAAAGAGAATGTTGTTGTGCATAACTACCACGATTTCTTAAACAACTACTAACATCCACGGACACATGTCCGGATCACTGTACAACAAGGGTAAACCCGGGATCGCTATATGTTGAAAACACAAAAATTCAGGATCTATTCTTCCCTGTTTCTGTGGGTCACCTATTATTTCTTAACTTGTGACGAATGGTAGATGTCTCCAATTGAGGTTAGCGAATTAACACAAGTTGTGTAAGAAGGCAACTATTGATCATAAATCTAGAGACACTTTCTAAGTAGAGCAACAATATTTTTATGTGGATTCAATGTACCCCTAGTACTGTCACTACAAATCTACAACTGTTCAAGATACCAGATTTTTACCATCTACCTTATCTTTTCTACTTTCACATAGGGATTAACTTGATGAAGTGATGTCCTGACTGAACATATTCTATGTAAAAGCATGAGGTGACATTGGATGAAATATCAACATTATGCTGTTTAAAAGATGGATACCCTTGTTACATCTATCTTATCTTTTCTACTTTCACATAGGGATTAACCTGATGAAGTGATGTCCTGACTGAACATATTCTATGTAAAAGCATGAGGTGACATTGGATGAAATATCAACATTATGTTGTTTGAAAGATGTGTACCCTTGTTATGGTTATAATATTGTTATCTTCACTCTATTTATCCTTATTTCTGTGATCGGTAAAATACATCCTTTTTAGACTTTGGTTATGAGATACGTATTACTATTGTTCAGTGAACTGACTGAAATGTTAAAACTATTTGCAGACATACTTGGGGATCGAAATATTCAGGTTTTATTTCAAATGCATTAAGTGCTCTGCTGAGTTAACAATAAAGACCGACCCGCAAAATTCAGACTATGTTGTTGAGTCGGGTGCATCACGGAATTTTGAACCTTGGCGTGCAAAGGATGAGGTATTATGTTAGCATGCCATATACATCTTTCTATTTCATCTTTAGATCTCCTTATTTTGTTGCAATCGTGATTTGATTTTGGCTTCTTATATAATTTGTACATTGCTCTCTTTGTCAGGAAGTAGATAAGGAAAAACAAAAAAGGGATACTGAAGAGATGGGAGATGCAATGAAATCCTTGGCGAATAGAACCTTGGATTCAAAAAGAGAGATGGACATCCTTGCTGCCCTGGATGAAGTGAAGTCCATGAGGGTACTTGCTTAGTCAAATAACTAATACGTAGTGAACATAATAAACATATATTAAGGTGGTATGTTGATAATCAATATATAAAAAATCTGGGGTTTCAAGGAGGGGATGCCCTATTTCTGACCTTGACCAGATTAGTTTTATTAATTCCCAACACCGATTAACCCCAACTCATACCCAATAGAGTCAGGTAGGGCCGAGGCTGGAATTCTAGATGTATTGAGAATAACTTAATGATTCAGCTACTGAATTCATGGCCTTATTAACTTCATAGGTTGGTAAACTTATTTTGGGTTAAAATGTCAATTTTCCTGACATATGGGATCATTAGCCAAGTGTGAAAGTTTGTTGTTTTATTCATTTTACTCAGATGTGAACTTGAATTTATATTTTAAGCATACTAAAACAAGTCTTCTTTCTGCTTTTTCAGTCAAGACAAGCAACTATCAGTGTAGATGCAATGCTAGAGATCTTGCAGCGCTCAGCTGAGGAAAAGGTAAGGTTATTTATGCTAGTTCATTATTTCAACCTTTTGGGTGTAAATGCATTTTGTGTAAGCCTTGAACAATGAAGCCCAATTGCCATTTTGGTCACTTTTGTGATGTACTAGATTTATGTGAATGGCAGCAGCAGTATCTAATGTGGGATTGAATTTATGTTTGGCTGGCAATACTATTTTATACCTGCAGAACTGCATGAAGTAAGCATGTAGTTTGACCTTTTTTTTGGATTGGCTGCATTCAAGTAATCTTCTACTCACTTTTGAACATAATAGGTTTTGATTCGGGTTGCCTCCTTAACTCATTGAACTGAAAATTAACACAAGTAATAAGTTCTAGATTTATATATATATATATATACATTAAAGTCTTTGAATGTCTCTTTTTCTTCTTTTGAGATAAGTTAGTTAAATGGGTGGTTTGGCATGCCTACCTAAAATCTGTTCAGTGTTAAGGCTAGGCACTGGCTGTATTGATCTGACGAGAATTTGATAGGGCTCGAATTCAAAAGGAAACTATAATTTTGCTAGAATTTGAGCTTCATTATTTCTATACTTTAAACTGTTCGACCAATTGATGTCATAACAAATCATTTTGAGGAATAGCTATTTGACCACATCATAGTTGCGTGTGAATTTGTCAAGGCTGCTTAGGAACTCAAAATATGTGAATTTAGATACTATTTTATCACCATCAGTTCTTACTAAGTCCTGGGATTTTTTTTGTCAACAGGAAAAGAAGTTGGAAGAAGAGGATGAAGCACTCATAAAATCATTATTTGGAGTGAGTATATCATTGTCAAACTACTGCTATTTTGCCGTATTGCTGCCCCTGTTTTCTGGTAGTTTGTACTCGTGAGATTTACTTAGTGTCCAAATTCTTTCTCAGGCACCAAGAGAGGTCGTTCGCAGGATCGATGATGATATTCTTGATGATGATGTAGATTTATCTCAGATTTCAACTGACAACACTAAAACATCAAACAATAATTCAAAAGTGTGATCCTTTACTAATAACTTGGTTGTATGATCTATACTAATCATGAAATTATTTTATGTCACATAGTTTCACATGTCATCTCTATGATATGAGATTCAATGAGTGATTCATATCGAAAATGGTGTTCAAACTATCTGAATTGTAAGATTCAATTCACAAATTGTAACATTTTGATACTTACGCTTTATGATGGATTCATTTTATTTGTGCCATGTCCCTTGCTAAACTTTTAAATGTAGGCTTTAAGGTTATGTTAATCTTGGGCTAAATTTGTTTTTAAAAAAACACAACAGGATGGCATAGAGGAAAAGTCTAGGCATTAATTTTAGCATTAGGAAGATTTGAAATTTCAAATTTTCTAGAATACATGTGAAAGGAACCTGATGATAGGAAATTTGATTCTTATGTATCAATTGCTAGTTAACCCTGTGCATGTTGCTGTTAGCAGAAATGGTGTGATACTTTATTGAAAGCTGAATATATTGGACACTTCTTTTATGCCATAAACTGATGCAGCATACATACTTCTGCTCCTAAACTTATAAATCTAGGTTGGCAGACACTCTTTCTTCTGCTCCTGCCTCCTCTCCCCACACCCACATTTCTTTTCATGCTTCCAAGTAAGGGTCTATCGTACACATTCAAGGAGCACTCATGGAAATCAAAGTTGGTGTTTACAATGAAAATACTGTTGTACCTGAAACAAAAAATGAATAAATCAATAAACTTTATGAATTCTATGCATTTGTTACTAAGTTCATTGTGTTTCTTGTGCAGAGGAGAAAGGTTTCTGAAGAACTTCCCACTAATGGCCCCATTTGGTAGAGCTGTGGGAAAGTAATTATAACTTATAACCTAACAGTTTATAGTTTATAACTGTGAACATAAGCTGATTTTTGACTTATAAATTAAGCTTCTCCTCCCCCACTCAAAGAATAAGTTGATTTTTGACTTTTGACTTATAAATTAAGCTTCTCCTCCCCCACTCAAAGAATAAGTTGATTTTTGACTTACAAAAAGATATAAGCCGTATTATTAAGCTGAACCAAACACATCAAAATAGCTTAAATTAAACTAAAAGCTGAAATAAGCCCTACCAAACAGGGCCAATAGGTTTCTGAAGAACTTCTCGCTAAGCCAACAGAGAGGTATCATGAAAAAAAATATCACGAAAATGATCATGAAAGATTTTCCACAATTAGATTACACATGTAAGAAAACAGTACACACTAATCTAGGGATGAAAAATCTTAATGAAACATTTCATGATATTTTTTTCATGATCCCTAGTATTATTCGCCAACAGATTATCTGACGAAAACAAGTTACAATTCAAAGAATGAAGGTTGTTAAGTTGGTCCAAATAATTCTTAGATTTTGTTTTTTTAATGTTTGCAAAGTTTCATTTGATTGATTGTTGTTTGTTATCCCTTAGTATGCATGTGTAGCAAGTTAGCAACCTGTCATGCCCCTACGAAATTCTTCAAAATATCCAAAGGGGAGCATGAAAGAAAGAGAGGCTAATGGAAGAATCTAGGGTAGCGTTTGGTAGAGTTTTCTAAATATGATTTGAGAGTAGGAGTTGTATTTTGAGTTTGTGAGTTTTGGAATTATGATTTGAGTGTAGAAATTTATTTGGTTATGGTTTTGAATAGAGTGTTGAATTGAGTTTTGAAAGTATGATGACATGTGAAGGAAGAAAATTTGTTGGTTATGAGTTTTTTTTTGAGTTTTCAAAACTTAATTCAAAAAGTTACAAATTATAATCAAACAAACAAAACAAAACGTAATTGAAATTTTTGATCAACATTCATAACCAAACTCTTTTTAAAATTCAATTCAAAAAATGAGTTTGTAATTTTTAGGCTCGGGGAGAGGCAATCAGGGGGAGTTTGCTTGTTACAAGTGTGGTCAGCTGGGTCACAAGGTTTCTGTTTTCCCGCAGAAGGGTGGGGGTCAGAGAGCTGCTTCTTCTTCAGCTAGACCGCAGAGTCAGAGTTTGGGCAGGGGGCAGCCCTTGTCTTGTTATCAGTGTGGACAGCCTGGGCACCTGAAGAGGTTTTGCCCGCAGTTGAGTGCCACTTCGGGAGCGTCTGGTTCTAAGCAGACGTAGATTTTTCAGCCAGCTCAGTCTGTGCAGGCCTCGAGGGCCAATCCGGGAGCTTCGTCATCCCAGTCTGTGCAGCAGTCTTTTGCTCCGAGAGGTGAGCAGGTAGGCCAGGGGCCTACGGGGCGCGTGTATGCTGTTACCGCGCAGGATTTAGTACCGGCTCCATCGGTAGTGAGAGGTACTTTTCTGTTTTGCAACTCGGTTGCTAATGTGTTGATAGACACGGGTGCATCTCATTCTTTTGTATCTGCTGCATTTGCATCTGTTTTGGAATTGGAGTTAGCACAGTTAGCATCTCCTATTTGTGTAGTGTCACCTCTTGGTGGTGAGTTGATTCTGAAACAGGGTGTTAGAGGATGTGATATAGAGGTCGCCGACTATAGGCTTCCTTTTTCGTTTGTTGTCATGCCCATGAAGGGTTTTGATGTTATTTTGGGTATGGACTGGCTATCGTCATACCGGGCTGTTATCGATTGCTACCGCCAGAGGGTCACGTTATGTACCTTGAGCGGGGAGTGGTTCCATTTCTTGGGAGACCGGGTTGGTTGTATTTTACCACCGGGGTATGATTCGCGAGGGCGAAGTGAGCTTAGTAGTCTACTTGCCAGCTTTGAGAGTGGTGAGAGTGGTGAGACCCAGCTTGTATTGCCGAGGGTGGTTCGTGAGTATTCGGACGTCTTTTCCGAAGATCTTGTTAGTTTGCCACCTCACCGAGAGATAGAGTTCTCTATTGATTTAGTGCCCGGCACGGCGCCGATTTCTATGGCACCTTACCGTTTTGGTCCAGCAGAGTTGGTTGAGTTGAAAGTTCAGCTCCAGGAATTGCTAGATAAGGGCTTTGTTCGCCCTAGTGTTTCGCCGTGGGGAGCACCGGCCCTCTTTGTTAAAAAGAAAGATGGTGCCTTGAGATTGTGTATTGACTACCGGAAGTTGAATCGGGCTACGGTTAAGAATAAGTATCCTATGCCCCGTATAGATGACCTGTTTGACCAGTTGAAGGGTTCCCATTGTTTCTCCAAGATAGACTTGAGATCGGGTTACCACCAGTTGAGGGTTAGGGAGGTGGATGTTCCTAAGACGGCATTCCATACGCGGTATGGCCATTATGAGTTTCTGGTGATGCCATTTGGGCTTACCAATGCACCGGCAGTCTTTATGGACTTGATGAACCGGATTTTCCGGGAGTTCTTAGATCGATTTGTAGTCGTTTTCGTGGACGGCATTCTTATCTACTCTCCTTCTGAGGAGGAGCACGAGGAACACTTGAGAGTGGTGCTTGAGTTGCTTAGAGCCCATAGGCTGTATGCCAAGTTTGGGAAGTGTGAGTTCTGGCTGAGGGAAGTCAAATTCTTAGGCCACGTGGTATCCGGGGAAGGGGTGTCTGTTGATACATCCAAGGTAGAGGCAGTGCAGGATTGGGCACAGCCTAAGAGTGTATTTGAGATCCGCAGTTTTCTGGGATTAGCTGGGTATTACCGTCGGTTTATGAAAGATTTCTCCAGGTTAGCGTCACCGTTGACTAGACTGACTCGGAAGGGAGTCAAATTTGTGTGGAGTGAGACTTGTAAAAAGTCGTTCCAAGAGTTGAAGGTTAGATTGACCACCGCTCCGGTGTTGATTATTCCGGAGAGAGGGTTGGGTTATGCGGTTTATTGTGATGCTTCACGAGAGGGTTTGGGTTGTGTGTTGATGCAGGAGGGGAAAGTGGTAGCTTATGGCTCACGTCCGTTGAAAATACACGAGAAGAATTACCCCACACACGACCTAGAGTTAGCAGCTGTGATCTTTGCCTTGAAAATCTGGAGGCACTACCTTTATGGTAAGAAGTTCGAGGTGTTCTCGGACCACAAGAGTTTAAAATATCTGTTTACACAGGGAGACTTGAATTTGAGGCAGAGGAGGTGGATGGAGTTCATCGAGGACTATGATTTTGAGTTACATTATCATCCGAGAAAGGCCAATGTTGTGGCCGATGCCCTTAGTAGGAAAACCATTAGTGATGTAGCTTGTATAGCCATCCGGGAATGGGTGATGTTGGGAGCACTTGGCGAGTTTGATTTGCTACTGGGCGAATCTGTTGAGGCTGCGGCCTTGTTTTCTGTTGTTGCGCAGCCTACACTTGTGACTAGAGTGTTAGAGGCACAGAGAGGTGACCTTGAGGTAGAATCCCTCCGAGAGAAAATCTCAAGTAGAAAGGTGGAGAAGGGTTTGACGGTGTATTCCGATCAGAGTGTGAGATACCGAGACCGTTTGTTTGTGACGGAGTCTTACCGAGAGGAAGTACTCCGAGAGTTCCATCATTTGCGCCTTACGGTGCATTCGGGAGGCACTAAGATGTATCGGGATTTGGGTCGCCAGTTTTGGTGGCGGGATATGAAGAGAGATGTGGCTATTTTCGTATCTAAGTGCCTTACTTGCCAGCAAGTGAAGGCCGAGCATCAGAGGCCAGCGGGTTTGTTGCAACCCTTGCCTATTGCCGAGTGGAAGTGGGAGCATGTCACTATGGACTTCATTGTAGGTCTTCCGAGGACTCAGCGGGGTAGTGATGCTAGTTGGGTGGTTGTAGACCGGTTGACTAAGTCGGCGCACTTCATTCCCATGCGCGTGAGAGATTCGGTAGATCACTGTAGACACCCCATTTTTGACCGACCTTAAGACTCAGACGTCGTCGATTGAGCGCTCAGTGATGGTGCATGTTCTGCTTGTCCTGAGATTTGGAAGTTTCGGCTAAGAGCCTTGCCTCCAAGCCTCGGGACCCTTTGTACTTTGACTCGGTCCGCGGACCAAGTTTTGTTTTCTCTTACTGGAGGGAGGGAGAGGTCTTGTAGACCATCTCTCAGTGGCCGTAGGCTACTTTTCATTGTCGTAGGCCATTGTTCCCATTTGGAGACTAGTTTTTTTATTTTCG